TTCGTCCCTTCATGGGCACATAGGTTGCTTCCAAGTCTTGGCTACTGTGAACAGTGCAATAATGAACATAGGGGTGCATGTATCTTTATGCATTTGTGCTTTCAAGTTCTTTAGATAAATATCCAGCAGTGGAATAGCTGGATCATATGGTAGTTCTATTCTTAATTTTTTGAGGACTCTCCATACTATTTTCCATAGTGGCTGCACCAGTCTGCACTCCCTTTAATATAGATTTTATCATTTATACAAAAATATTACCTGTTACTTATTATAATGCATTCTATTTAACTTCGACATTTAGGATTTTATACATTATCAGTACTTGTCAATTGTCAAAGTGTATTTCATTTGGATAGAATGACCTGCAGAAAGAAGTCCCTTTAAAAGAAAAGTTTTGTTAAGAATTTGTTTTAAATCTTAATTTTTATGTTACTTCATATTTGCTCATTCTTGCAAAATTAATTAACTGGCCATTTGGTTAAATTATTGGGGCTTGCCTGTTATGCAATGTTTAGGTACCACTTGAACTTTATAAATATTTATGCCATAAAATATCTCATTTTTGTGATAATTGACTCCATTAAAATTTTTTTGCATGTTTGACACCTTTGAAACGCTTAGAAAAAGCTTGTATGATGAAATTTAGATTTGCTGTGGGTTTAAAGTACTGTGCTGGTATTGCATTTTGAATTATCTTAAAACTGACTATTGATTTTAAAGATACATGGCTGTGTTCTGTTCAGGCATTTTCGTGAGGCCGAAGCAGCCTGGAATGTGAATCACTACAGGAAAACAGCCGGGGAGTTTTAAGCAGAAACTCTGAAAGTTTTGCTCAGTGGGCATTAATAACACGAGGGGTGGCTTATTTTAAAGGAGTTCTAGACGCTTCTGGCACGAAGATGTGGACTGCAACAGATGTGGTTCTTTTCACGTTCTCCACCACCGCCACCATCACTGTCATCTCCCAATCATTCATTCATTCACTCATTCACTCAACGGATATTTATGGGGTATGCACCATGTGCCGGCACTTTTCTAAAGTGCTAGACTTAACAGTAAACACTTTTAACAAGATCTCTGCGTTATAGAGTTTGCATTCACAGGCAGGCCTTGTGTTCGACAATCTGCATGTATGCTTACAACATCCCTGCGAGATAATGTTATTCCCATTTTACAGATTAAGAAGCTGAGTAGTTAAGTGACATGTCCAGTGTCACACAGCAGGGCCTGAGATCAGGGCAGAGGGACCCTAATGCCTGGGCTCTGAGCTGTTTTGCTGGCCCCCTGGGAACAGTGACTAGGTGACACATGAATTGCAGGTGTCAGTTGTACATTTGTGTGGGTTCTCAGCGTCACACCACGCTGGTAAGGTAAAACCTCTGGGAGGTAAAACCTTCAAACCATGGCAGGTTTGGATGTGGAGGCCAGCCATGCATGCTCTCACTCTATTCTCTGGACCAACTTGGAAGCATTTGGTTTCAGAAACAGACCTGCTAGATTTGTGCCTTCTGATAAAGTGAGGAACAAAGTTACCTCTCCCAGTAATATTCTGTGGACTTTAGGATTTTCACATGACTAATTTGCGTGCTTCATTTTCCTCTAGTATTGCCTTCCTCTAGGATATTTTTGCAATATTACTCCAGTTCCATGTTTTTTAGCACACATTATTTGAAGAATTGCTTTTCCATCGGAAACAGCAGACCACAGCTCTTTTTAGCACATGAGCTCATTTGTGTAATTTCATCAAAGGTGGAAGTTTATCTTTGTGAGAGATTTATTTAATCTTTTGCAATCCTGTTTGGATAAAAGTAATTTATATTTTTAACCTTTATTTGTTATTATTACTATTATATATATGTGTATATGTATATATATATATATATATATATATATATATATATATATTTACTAGATGAAGCCCTTAGAAGTGACTATAGATTACCAATCAAGAATGATGCTTGGCGGGTATTCTTTCCATACCATTGTGTTTGACCTCAAAAGTGAAGACTATGGAAGGCGTTGAGTTTCTTGAATTTTAAGCAGAGAGATTATTTCTGACAGCTCATATTACTTTAAAAATTGTATTTTTAATGTCATTTTTTATAACTATTTATAGGCTAGCACATCCTTATTTATATTTTTATTTGAGATAGGCATTATTATTATCAGCTCCATTTTGTGATAAAGATAATGGGATTTGGAGGGCTTCTGAGTTACTAGGAGAAGAATTGCTACCCAGGTCTACTGGTTTTGAAGCCTATGATATTTCCGCTACTCCCTGCGGCCTATTTTTTATTAATTATGATTTGTCAGGTGATAGTGAGATGGAAGATATTCATGTCCTTGATTACAATCAAGTTAGCAAAAATTTTTGCTTAGTCTTAACTAGGCATATAGTAAACACATGGTGTTTTTAAAAAAATTTCAACTTTATTGAGATATAATTGACGTATAAAATTGTAAGATATTTAAAGTATGCATCGTGGAGATTTGATATACATACACATTGTGAACGGATTCTCACCATCTAGTTAATTAATGCATCCATCAGCTCACATATTTCTCTTTTTTTTTTTTTGGTGAGAACTTTTAAGTTCTACTCTCAGTAGATTTCAATGATACAATACAGTGCTATCAACTATAGTTGCTATGTTTCACATTAGATCCTTAGAACTTACTCACTTTATTGCTGAAAGTTTGTACCTTTTTTCCAGCCTCTCCCTATTTCCCCCACACCCCAGCCCCTGGCAACTGCTTTGCTACTCTCTATTTCTATGAGTTTGACTTTGTGTCTGTGTGTGTGTGTGTACGTGTGTACCCGCCATTTCCCCCCAACTTTGTATTTAAAAAATTTGCAAAAATATAGAACAGTGGAAAGAATTGTACAGGGAACAATAACCCCACCACGTGAATTCTATAGTTGTTAACATTTGCTATATTTGCTTTTAAATATGTCATTTTGCATTATATGTTTGAGGATAGAATACTTCTTAAGTAGTAATTTACATAATTCTCGGAGATCTTTGCCAACGAATTTAATTTTAGATGCCTGTTAACACATATGTCCTGTTATATTATTATCTCAGGATGAAGCATTAGAAAGCTAGAGTCTAGTTTTACGATTTGGAAATATGCTGGGTTTTGTAATTTTAGGATGGAGTACTACATTGAGAATATTTTACTGAGTTAGGCAAAGTCTAAAGAACTTGAAAAATCTTACATAGTTTGAAACCCCAAGTGACATTATAAATTCATAGAACTAAAGTTATTTGGGTGACCTCAGTGATAAAAAATGGAGCCAGACGATGCAAGCCCATTGGAAGAGTCTGAGGCATGTTGGAGATAGTTCAGTCTTGAAGGCATTTCTGGCGTAGAGAGATCTACGTATAAAAAGTATCAAAAGATCAGAATTGTCTTAGAAAGTCTGGAAGCAGGAATAGAACGGGGGCGTGCAAATCTTTCTGTGCTGTTAATTGTTCTTTTCACGCTCTTTTCACTCCCAGGAGCATCTCTCTCTCAATTTCCTGCTTCCTTCTGACATAATGCCCCCTCCCCTATGTGTCAAGAAGTGGTTCTTCTGTCTCAAGGGTATATGGAAGAAATGTGCTTCTTTTATGCTAGTTTATATTTTATTTTTTTCTTTAGTAACAGAACTGATGCTGCTGGGTCTAAAGGAGCAGGAGTTCAATGACTTAGCGTTCTTTCTTCTTCCGTATTTACTCAGGGTGTTTTTTAATACACACACACGTCACATTAACATTTTGGGAATTCCCATGTTTTCTGTGATGTGATTTGGCTTCCGTGGCAACCTTCTGACTTCAGTCCTGAGGGTTGTGGTCTCTTGAGTGACATGGCCTGGCTCTGCTGCCTGCTGCTGGCTAGCCGTGTGACCTTGAGCAAGTAAAGTGAGGGAATTGAGATAGGCAATTTTTGAGGTGTTCTTCACCAGCACTAAAAATTCCTTTGTTCCGTGTTCACTAATTTAAATTTTTGCAGAGGCTAGACTAGTTTGTATAACAACTGGAGTGACGATCTTACGTAATGGCTCTTATTATCTGCCAATTAAAATTAGAAAGTTTACTTTTAAGAAAGTATTAACTACGTGGAAACTATATGGAAAAAAAATCTGTGTGCGTGTACATGTGTGTGTAACATATATGTAGTTGCATGTGTGTGTATGTAACAATTCATTTTTCCTGTAAGATAAGGAATTAAAAGCTTGTATGTCTAACGTAGAATCTGGTCTTTAATATTAAGAATCATGTCTGTTACATATATACATCCATTCACATTTTTTGAAAAATGAAAATATTACCTTAACAAACTGTCGTCACGTGTTTGTCCAGGATAACTTGAAAACTTCTACTTAGATTGTTTTCTTCTATAGAATATAATTTCCCATCCAGCACTCCCTCCCCAATAACTAATATAAACTGATCTGAAAGTGTTGCTTTATCTTTTGGGCATACTTTAAATTGAAGGTCTTTCATCAAAAAATACAGCAAGCCTTAAAAACACTTGAACTTCTTGTCTGTCACTTTTTTGAAAGGCAATTGAATGCATATTTTTGATAAAACTGTGACTTGTTGGGATGACAAGGACTTCCAAGGTGCGGCACGGTAGCTCAGCGAACTTAAAAATGAAATAACTCCAGCAAGGAACATAGAGTAAGTATACACCCGAGATTTTGCACATCACAAAATTATTGCAAAGGGCTGCTCTGGAGGCAGGGTTTTTATGACCGTAACATTCCAGCTGCGGTTTAGGAGACGGAATGTTTACTACTCTCTAAACCCAAGGATGGTAGGTGTGTATTCTTGCTGCTAAAAGGCTGGAAAAAGCAGCTGAGGCTCTCTTTGAGTGAGTAAACCTTTATTCAGCAGACTTTGGAACCGAGTTCCTATGGGACTTTGGTGGTAGTTCTGGAATGCACGTCAACAGCAGCGCAGTCATGGGCGAGCCCCGCGGCTCCGAGGCGTGATGGCAGGCTGTCCTGGCTGATTGCTTCAGGCAGCCCGTGGAAAACCACTTTCTGGTTAAGTCTGCATCATTCTCTTCCACCAATGGAAAAAATTGAACATGATGAGGGTGTGTAGCTAGCAGACAAAAATACATCCAGCATTGCACACAATCTGTTTTTAGCTCTTAACGGCTGAGCATTTGAAGTGGTAGACGCTGCTTCCTGCCTTACCATGGGCAGAAAGAGGAGCGAGTCCGTGGATGTGGATACAGACCCTGACTTCGGGAAACTTCTTCTGCTAATTCAAAGAGCCTGAGAAAAACTGGCTGCATCCAAAGTCTTGGCAAAGGTAAGGTTATAGATGTTTATTTTTCCTCTTCTGGAGTTGAGACTTAATTTTCTACGTGAGATGTAAGTGTTTCTCGGAATGCTCCTGATGGCGATATTTCATTGTGTGCTGACTTTTCTTTGTTTTACATTATTTTGCACTTCGGCTGCACATATTGGTGTGCATAAGGGAATATTACCTTTAAATCCGAGGGTCTATATGCTTTCAAACACCTATTGGTGAGTCATTACAGCTCCCCACCCCGTTTTACTAATTAATTCTCCCAAAGCTGATGTATCTGTTCTATGGATTTCCTTTGCCTGGTATCTCAAGAAAGTACTATTTCTCAGTCTGATCATATTACAGCACTAATGACTGTTTCCTTATCTTTACCAGTTAATTCTTTCAGGGCACAAAGGGAAATTAAAATGTGGCAGAGATCATCTTTTATAGTTTCCTGGTTATTATGTAACTTCCTCAGGACTCTGTTTTAAGCTGAGCGAGCTACTTGGTTTAAGAGTTTCTTTTGAAACTTGGAATTTGATGTTCAGTGTTTATTAATGTCACTCCTTCACTTTTGTCTCGAACTTTCTGAAAAAGAAATGGAATCCCTTATAATCTGTGTGTGTGTGGGGGCTACCTTGTTTAAGTAGAATGATGGATTCTTGTCGTAATGCCTCAGAAGCTGCTCATTCATCAGGCGTTTGTCTGAACACTGAGTTTATCAGCCGGGGTTGAGGAACCCTGCCTTGACATGGTACTTCCCCTGCTGTACATTAATTTGGCTAAGCATGTAATTCTCAGAAAATTGGTAGGTGGAGACACTGAAATAGGGAGCTTTATTGAAGTCCTTGTGACCTGGAAGAGTATTTATAGAATTTCTGGAAAGTAAGGGAACTGCTGAACAGCTGCTGGAGATTTTCCTAACACGTTTCAGCATTTCGCTGTGGCCCTCTGTCACACTGAGGGATTCTAACATTTTATGCTTCATTTCTGTGTACTGAGGGTGTGCGGTATTTTAGGCGAGCAGTGTTCCTTTTCAATGTGTGTCCTCTCTGTGGGTATATTGTGCATCATCAACTCCTTCTGTTCCTTACAGAAGGATCTTTTAGGGATGGAGGAATGGTGCGTGCTCTCCAGGTAGCTTAGAATTAATAGAAACATTGGTAGCATTTTATTTATTACCTTTTTTTCCATTCTAGAAAGTGCTGCTCAGACAGAGCTGGCACCCACTTAGAGCAGGGGCACAGCAAGCCCAGCTGCCGTCTTCTCTAGTCAGATTAAGACTTGTCAACTACTTTTATTTTTTCCAGAGCTTGTAGACAGAAACTGAAGTCTGTTGAAGAACCTTATGACTCCAATCTAGACTGTGAATAGTGTTTGAATCCAAATAGATAACACCTTTCCTTTAGTATTTTAGCGTAGAGGGAGTGACTTGCACAGCCCTCTCCTTAGGCCAGGCCTGTTCAAGGATGCCTGGAAGTGCGAGATAAGGGCGAGGCTCCTTGCCAAGAGATCATCCTTCCAAGTGGGCCCTCACTTAACTGCGAAATAAAACAGATGATTCTGTCCTGGTGGTCTAAGATGGTGTTTGAAAAGAGACATATCCGCTTTTTCAGAGATTTAAAGTGAGGGCAGGGTTTCTGCAACCTCCTCCTGCCATAGATGCTGGCTGGATATGGGAGGACCACAGAGGGCAGCCTAAGGGGAAGCTCGTGCTCCTTAAATGTCCGATGGGATGCTTTCCCATGTCTGTAGGTGCCTCCAGGTTTGGCCCACTTTGGGAGATTCATTTACCTGGAGATAATAAACTGGGTTAGTGAGACCCCTCAGCTCAACTGTGAGATTCAAAAAGTAATAATTTCCTCTTTACGGAAAAGTCAGAACAAGCTCTTTTTGGACATTAAAAAAATTTTTTTAAGTGATAATCTGCATTTTTAATTTGAAGTTAGTTGTACCTTAACTAAGGGCCAAGGTAAAGATGGCTTTACTAGAAGGACTAAAATCATAAATAAGTAATGGTGTGGAATTGAAAGATAAAGCAACAATATTAAAGACGGGGGCAAGGTGGTAACGATAGTACTGGGTAAACCTGAATTTCTGACTGTTGACACACAAAAGTACTAAACATCGTGTTTACGACAGTTTGAATTCTAATAATGGTGGGTTGAGTGTCTTTTTATTACTCAGTCCTATCTAACATAGGCTTACAAATGGTAGGAGGCCTCATCGTCAGTGTCCCTGGAATATATTGGACACTCTCTTGTCAGCTATCTATAGTCCATAGTTTTGTCAAGCTGAAAAGGGACCTCAGACGATTTTCAAATGGGAAAACTGGAAAACCACACAACACGCGTGGCTCGTCCAAAGTCACTGAGATTGTTCGTGGCCGAGCTGGGACGAGATACCAGCTATCCTGTTAGTCAGTCTTTTCTTTACATTGCCTGTATCTTTAATTGGAACTACTTTGTATATCCTGATATATCTTTGTAAATTGATAGAAAGAGACATGAATATGTATACAGATGTATCTATGTGTGTACATAGATACATATATATGTATACACACATCCATACCCATCTGTCCATTTCTCTCCTTCCTGCCCTGCCTTCATTCTTTTCTTTCATCTGCTTACCTACCTACTTACCACACCAGACAGACTCAACGCTCTAGTCAGATACAAGACAAAGACTTCTGTTTTTCTTGCATCCCAGTGAAGTTCAAATCGGTCACTCAGTTGGTGGCCATCAGCCCCATTGGTTATTGCCACAGAGAATTTTAGGCACACGTGTGTTACTCTAACCTATGGTGATTCAATTAGATTTCATCTGCCAATCTGTTCCTGCTTCAGCCTTAGATTAAGAGTGTTTTTCACACTCCTATTCCAAGAGAAGGCTGTTTGGGTTTTGTTAGTTCTGGGCCTGACGAGAGAGAGGCCATGAATGGGAACAGAATGACAGCAAATGGGTTTAGTGTTAGTGCCAAGGTAATGTAAGGTACTTTTGGAAAAATAAATTTCACATATAATGTGACAGACTAGGTTATCATGTCACTCTAGGAAAGGGATGTGGTAGGTGTTACAGATAGTGTCAGGAAGAAGTTGATCCAGGGCGTTCCTAGGACTTAAATAAAGGCTTGAAAATCCTGGGTATCTTGAGGCCAACATTGCAAAATGAAAATAATCCTTATCTTGTTTTCGTATTTGACCATGACATATGTCTAGTTACAGAATTGTTAGAGTAGGGTTTCTAAAATGCAGATAGGAAGAGGGACTAAAGAGATACAGAGTGTATGGGCTGGGAAAGAAAACTCAAACTCCACATGATTAAAGCCAATTAAAGAAACTCTGAGGGGAGAGAATGAAAATAGACTTCTTTTCTTTTTTTTTTCTTAGAAGGTGCCTATTTCTTTTTTTTTTTTTTAATTAAGGCTATGAAAGTTAACATCCTTGTGAAATTACAGTTGTACATCATTATTAGTCATGTTGTAGGTACACCACTTCACCCCTAGTGCCCTCCGCCCACCCCGCTTTCCCCTGGCAACTACTGATCAGTTCTCTTTGTCCATATGTTAACTACCACCTATGAGTGGAGTCCTACAGAGTTCGTCTTTCTCTGTCTGGCTTATTTCACTTAACATAATACCCTCAAGGTCTATCCATGTTGTTGTGAATGGGACGACTTTGTCCTTTTTATGGCTGAGTAGTAATCCATTGTATATATATACCACATCTTCTTTATCCAATCATCAGTTGCTGGGCACTTAGGTTGCTTCCATGACTTGGCTATTGTGAATAATGCTGCGATGAACATAGGGGTGCATGGAACTTTTGGAATTGCTGATTTCAGGTTCTTAGGATAGATACCCAGTAGTGGGATGGCTGGGTCATAAGGTATTTCTATTCTTAACTTTTTGAGGAATCTCCATACTGTTTTCCACAGTGGCTGCACCAGTTTGCATTCCCACCAACAGTGTATGAGGGTTCCTTTTTCTCCACAGCCTCTCCAACATTTGTCACTCTTGGTTTTGGATATTTTTGCCATTCTAACAGGTGTAAGGTGATATCTTAGTGTAGTTTTGATTTGCATTTCCCTGATGATTAGTGATGATGAGCATCTTTTCATGTGTCTATTGGCCATCCATATATCTTCTTTGGAGAAATGTCTGTTCATGTCCCCTGCCCATTTTGTAATTGGGTTGTTTGATTTTTTATTGTTGAGTTGTGTGAGTTCTTTGTATATTATGGAGATTAACCCTTTGTCAGATAAATAACTTGTGAATATTTTTCCCCAATTAGTGGGCTGTTTTTTTGTTTCAATCCTGTTTTCCCTTGCCTTGAAGAAGCTCTTTAGTCTGATGAAGTCCCATTTGTTTATTCTTTCTATTGTTTCCCTCATGTGAGGGGTTATGGTGTCCGAAAAGATTCTTTTGAAGCTGATGTCAAAGAGTGTACTGCTATATTCTCTTCTAGAAGACTTATTGTTTCAGGCCTAATCTTTAGGTCTTTGATCCATTTTGAGTTTATTTTAGTAAATGGTGAAAAAGAATGGTTGATTTTCATTCTTTTACATGTGGCTGTCCAGTTTTCCCAGCACCATTTGTTGAAGAGACTTTCTTTCCTCCATTGTAGGTCCTCAGCTCCTTTGTCAAAGATTAGCTGTCCATAGATGTGTGGTTTTATTTCTGGGCTTTCAATTCTGTTCCATTGATCTGTGCATCTGTTTTTGTACCAGTACCATGCTGTTTTGATTACTGTAGCTTTGTAGTATGTTTTGAAGTCAGGGATTGTGATGCCTCCAGCTTTGTTCTTCTTTCTCAGGATTGCTTTAGCAATTCGGGGTCTTTTGTTGCCCCATATGAATTTTAGGATTCTTTGTTCAATTTCTGTAAAGAATGACATTGGAATTCTGATTGGGATAGCATTGAATCTGTAGATTGCTTTAGGTAGTATGGACATTTTAACTATGTTTATTCTTCCAATCCATGTGCATGGAATGTCTTTCCATCTCTTTATGTCGTC